AGATCTACGGTTTCTTCGGTGCTCACTGCAGTACTGACTGGGGGGCGCCCCCCCCGCCGCCGCCATTTTGAACTGATTTTGGCCGGCGAGCCCGCCGCCATTTTGTTGTTGCCTAGTTGCGATTACGGTTGCGCCCGCGGGCGGGTTGAAATGTTTCGTCTGGTTGGGAATTGAAAAATATCGCACTTCCGCGTCACGCGGTGCGCCTTTTTAATAGAATTGCAAATATTTCTCGGGAGAGTCCCACGCCCGCCTAAGATATTCTGTGTTGTTATGTTCGTTGTAGTTTTTTCAACGGATTGCAAAACGCAGCCCGCCTGAATAATTCCGCACTGGTCACAAGACGATTCGCCGCCAAATTTTTACGGGGAGTTCCAACTGATTTGAATTCGTTGGTTCGCCTTGCCGCCGTTTCTTTCGATACGTCAGTTACTGTTTCAGGTTTTTTCTCCGCCGCCCGCTTTTTTTCTGAATGGAGTATGTTGTATTGCTTCCAGTGTGATTTCTCCAGGCGATCGGAGGGAGGAGAAGCGTCACCAGCCCCACCAGGGGGTCCACCTCCGGCGAGGAGGTCCACCATGCCTCCCCGAGCTGGCGGTGGGGACGTCTCGAGCGAGGTGGGTGGGGTGGGTGGGGGGGGGGCACACCGCCAGGGAGACCCCCACGCGGGACGTGTCGTGGGACGCTCCAGGAGGGGCCTCGCCTCTGGCGCGCCTCGCCCTCGGTGGAAGCCGGCGGAGGAGGCCAGCAAGCCTCGACGGCTCGAGTGACACACAGCGTGCTCTTGTGCGTGCTGGGTCGCAAGTCCCAGCCCGATCACCGACCTTCTTCCCTTCTGCCGCCATGGCCAGCGCCGCGAGGCGCATGTGATGGAGGGGACCTCCAAGAACCCTGAGGTCGGCGAGGTGAGCGTTGGACCGCAGCACGACGGTCCTGAACCTGGAGGTAAAATCGACAATGCCGACAACGGTCCGCAGGGAGCAAGTGCATACGGGTGGCAAAAGGGCCTTGCGACGGGCCGTGCGAACATTGAGATTGGAAGGACAGGTGTGGTACCATGGCAAGAGGTATACCAGAGCCACGGCAGCCGCACTTCTCCCAGTACTGCATGAATTCACAGCTCCTGGAGCAAGACCGACGTCCACGCGTTTGGCTACGACACCAGCTCGTGCATCGCCTACCGCACCAAATACGGCCACCAGTGCCGCCGTATATTATCACCACCGCCGCCGCCGAGACCACCGTCCCACCCAGCAGCTCACCTTCTGGACCTACAACTGCGAGAGCCTGCTTCGGGCAGATCGCTTGGCGGAGATTCTCAGGCTTGCGAGATCCAGGAGAGTGGCAGTCGTCAGCCTCCAGAGCACCCTCATGGAGCTGAGCATTCCCTGGACTACAGAAGGCTACAGAATCATCCCTACCCCGCGCACGACACGAACGAGCAGAGATGGCTGCTTGATCGCCTTCGACCTCCGCATATTCGCTCTTTCAGAACTTAGAGTATCTCATACGTGGCTGGACGGCCGACTACACGGTATTCGCCTTACACGTAAGGGACCCAAAGAAAGAGACCTTTACGTCCTGAACGTCTACGCCCCCTTCAACGAAGTTGGACCCGCGAAGGCCGGCGAAGACCAACGCCAGAAGAGCATCGTCCACCGAGACCTCCAGGACCGCTTTTGGGACACGTGCAGGTCCGCCCTGAGCCAGTTGCCGCAGCGGGTCGCCCTCGCGATGACCATGGATGCGAATGCTGCTCTAGCGCCCCAGCTCCCGCACGTTTGCTTTGCGGGCCAGCGCCGCATGCACGCCAGCTTGAACGGTAACGGTGCCCGCTTGCTAGACCTCCTCCAGACGTTCCACCTGTCTGCCCTCAACACCATCGGCAAGCGTAAGAGACAGAATGGAACGTGGAAGCATGTGATCGGCAAGGGCTGGACGACCATCGACTACATCTGTGTAAGATTATGCGGAGCCTATGGCACCAAGGCTCACCCCCTAAAAGACTTACCAGTTAGCCTCGGAGGATATCGAGACCACCGCCCAGTTGAGGCCCACATCTATGCTGGCGTGCGTGCAAAAAGAACCCCTGAACCCAAGCCAGTTAGATGGGATTGCGAAGCTCTTGTGAAGGACCTACGCCTACTGAGTGACGAGAATGCCGACGTCCCACCTCGCCTTGTTGCGATGCGCGACCACCTCCAGACTCTTCTCCGCCAACGCAATCTAACCCAACCGTGGCATCGGGTCTGCGGGGAGGGCCAGCAGCACGACACGCCCTCCGACTATTTCAATGCGCTGGAGCACACGGTGATCGAGGCTGCGGCCCCGCACTACCTCCTCCAGCCGACGAAGGTGAATAGGCCGAAGCTGAAGGATGAGACCTCGGCCCTGATAGACCTGAAGCACGAGATCCAGAGGCGCATGGCTCTCCACGCGGATCGGACCACCCCCACCTACGGCCGCCTCCAGTCCAGGTTCGACGAGGCAGCCAGAGCCGCAGCCAAAGCAGTTCGAGCCGAGCGCCGCCAGCACCTCGCTGAGACGGCTAGAGAAGCAGAAGCAGCAGAGGCCGCCATGAACCTCCGCCGCCTGCACGCTGTGGTGCGGCGCCTGGCCCCCAAGCCAGTTGCCCCCGTCGTCACGGTCACCAACCCCGCAACTGGAGGAACCTGCCAGGACGCAGAGGAGGAGGTCGAGGGCAGAGCCCGAGCGTTGAGCACCATTTTTGATGGCACAATCATCGGCATGAACAGCCTAGGTGGACCTCCAGGCCTCCTTCCGAGAGGTGGCACGCGCATTGGCACCTACGACGTCGATGGCATAACGAAGGCCATCCGCAACATGCCGAACTACAAGAGTGCCCCGGTCTTCAAGATGCCCGCGATGAGAGACATGGAGCACGCCATCGATCCCAACATCGATCGCCACGTCGACCAGCCCTCTGATGGATCCGTCATTGAGATTTGGAAGTTATGCGTTACCGAAACAGCCCCAGCTTACAGCACGTGTTCCATGCCTGCCAGGCCCTCGGCCACTCTGCCCAGCGCTTCAAGGGCGGCGAAACGGTCTCCCCCAGGAAGCAGAAGGGCGACGGCAAGTGCGCCAAAGCCCACTACAGAACGATCAACCTGATCAACCACATTGGCAAGGTCTACATGAATATTACGGCCATGCCCGAACTTCGAGGACTGGCGCCTCGTTTATCGTTTTCGCAGTTCGGGGCCGTGGCGGGTAGGTCTACTCGAGATGCCCGTGCAGTCGTAGCTGAAGTTATCCGACGGTGCCGTCTGCATGGGCGCAGGTCTCGGCTTGGTTCTGGCACAACGCCCGGCATGCTCCTGGCAGTTCTGATTGACCTCGAGAAGGCGTTTGACCTGATAGATCGCGATGAGATTTGGACCGCGCTCGAGACGCTCGCCGCCGAACGCAGCGTCGGACTCACAGTCGAGGAGCTCCATGAAGGCACGTGCTACATCGCCCGGGACATCAGGGCCAACGTGCCCACCAGGAAGCTCCTCATCCCGAAGGGGGTCCGCCAGGGCAGCGTCGAGGGCCCGCTGTTGTTCGTGGCAGTGTACGACCTCCTCACGTCAGCCTTCGAGAGCAGCCACTCAGTTTCGGAGTTTCCTGAAGCATACGCCACCTTTGACCCTGAGCTGAAAAAGATTAGGCCTCAGCATAACCTCGAGGGAGATGAAGGGGAGGAGAGAATGGTAGTCTCGCCGATTAAGTTCGTGGATGACCTGATCGCCTTCACCATCGTCGAAAACTTTGAGACGGCCTCGCGAGTCCTCGCCTTCCTGCACTCCGAAATCTCTAAGGGTAAGATGAAAGTAAACGACACTAAGACCGAGATGCTAATCGTGGCGACGGGTACCAAGAGCAAGCAACGCAAGACTAATATTAGAGCCAGGCAAACAAACATAAAGATGCACACCACACCTGTACATCCCACTGCAAGCGTCAAGTATCTTGGAGCTAAGCAGCGTGACGATGGTTCGATGGTGGAGGAGGTATCTCATAGGATTCAGGGTGGTAACGCCGCACATGCTCGCCTGGCCCGTCGAGTGTTTAAAGGGCACTTTAGCGTTCAGCTTCGGGTCCGACTGCGGTGCTCGCTGGTTGGATCGACACTTCTCTATGGCCTCGAGATAGCTGTCATGACCAAACGCGACCTCAACATACTGGAGCACTGGCAGACCCGTCAGCTTCGTTATCTTGCCCGTGCCCCCGCTCATGTGCATCATGTCAGTAACGTGGATGTAAGGAGGCTCACGTGGGTGGCGACGGTAGCCTCAACCCTGCTGGAAAGACGGCTCGTCTGGTGGACGGGAGTTGTTCGGCTTGCCATCCCCGACCTCATGAAGAAAAAGCCCCTGAATGGCGATGGCGAAGACGATGGCCCCAAGCGCGATCCCTCCCGCCTGGTTAGCTGTAGCGTTTGGCAGATTCAACTTCGAGGGCTCCCGTCATAAAGAAGTCAACTCTCTCTTGGGACTCCTACGTGAGGACTTGAGGAAGCTCTGGCAGACCATGGACCCCGAGGCCCAACAAGATGCCCGCGATGCCCACGCTCTGGGAGATCCCGAACCCGCTCCGACCTACCAGCGGCTTCGACGGTTGCGTCAGGTTCCCCGGGCTCATCTTCGGCGAGTGCGAAGGTACATGACTGGGGATGAAGCGAAGATAGCCGCAGGCGTGGCTCTTGCTCCAGAGGTGATGATCAAGTGCCCTGTCTGCCCCCGTATGTGTCAAGGCCCCGAGGGTTTGGCAAACCACGCGTTCTCGGTCCACAAGAAGTACGCCAACCCCACGGGCCTCACAGATGACCAACTGAGATCCCTGAGGTGCCCCAAATGCTCTACTTCCTTCAGCCGAAAGGACACGCCTGTTCGTCATACTCAAAAAAATCGGCGTCGTGGACCTCAGGCGTGCGAGGCTCAAGTTCCAGAGACGGCAGCTCCTGACTTTCCAGGCCCGCCAGCTCCACCGCCTCCGCCAGCCGCGCATGCCCACCCCGATCGCGGCGATCTCCAACGGGACGATGCGCAGCGCGGAGGGCCCCCCCGAGGGACGAGCCAAAGAGGAGAAGGAGACGACCTCCAACGACAAGCCCCAGAACCTGACGCGCCGCCTGCAGCTCCAGCACGAGGCCGCCCACCAGGCCGCGGCGTGCGACGACACCCTGACGCCGACCCTGGAGGAGGGCCAGATGCTCGAGGCGGCGCTGGAGACAGGCTTCCAGGGCTACGCACGAGTGGGCAAGACCGCTCGAGAGGGCGACGACTTCAAGGGCCTTCTGAAGATGGTCACCATTCGGGTATCAGAGGCCGCCGCCACCAACCGCGAGAAGCTGATGAAGGCAATCGAGCAGGGACCCCACCCACAGGCTGTCGCCGAGGCCGTCGGAGTCTTCGAGAGGTGGGGCCAGCTCGTTCAAGATCCAGACACGATCGTGAATGCCACCAGATGCTTCACGATCAAGCTCAACACCGAGGGCGAGGACCTGGCACGTTGGATTTTCGCGCGCAACCATCACCCCGACCTGAGGACCGCCTTGAACGGGCTGCGCCTCAACAAAGGTACGGAGTCCGCGGCGATCCAGCTCGGTCACGATCACGGCCCGAAGTCAATGGCCGCAAAGCAGATCGAGCAGCTAGCCTCCAGGGACGATGGCAAAAAGATGCCCGCAGGCAAAAAGAAGTCCAGGAAGTAATCGAGCCTCGCCCCAGAGCCCGTGGAGCCCGTGGGGCCCAGGCGCCCTCGAGCCTCACCTTAGTGGCCATCTTTGAACGACTGAGATCAGCGGCGGGAGGATGATAGCTTGGTAGGCTTGTGCATAGTTGTTGGTTCTGAACGCATACCTTCATCTCACATTTTCGACGTTGGTGTGCACTGTGGGTGTGGAGCTCAGGAGTTGCCTCATTATTGTGCTTGTGTCCGTGGGCGGACCGAGCATGCCAATGAGAGTGCGGGTTTTCCCTGAGGCTCCGCTGCCGCCGCCGCCGCCGACAGCTTTTCCCCTCGGTCTTGTATCCTCGAGCGCCCCGTTTGGGAGGTGCTGCCCCGAGGCCCCACAAGGGGGTCCGAGGGCCGCACCCGCTGTGCCGCCTCCGCAGAGGCGGGGGCGCGTGGGTGCGGCGCCCTGGCCCCCCGATCTTCCCGCGCGTCCCTGTCCAGGGGCCCCCGTCTGAAATACAGTATGTTAGATGCGCCGAACTCGGTAGGTTTCATGTGGCCCCTCACGAAGCGTCCGATTGAGCGAGCTTGGGCGCGATGCTGTGAAAAAAGGGGGAGGCCAGCGGAGGGGGGCGGAGGCAGAACGGCGGCGGGTCCGCTTGCGGAAGGCCCGCGGAAGGCGGCGGAAGCGAGGGTGCGACGTGAGCATCAAGGGGTTCAGAGTGGTTGGAACCGGGAAGGGGACTGACAGGGATGTCCCCATGTTGTCCTAATGAGCAACGCGAGTTATCGAACAAAGATAGTTCGCTCGGGACTCCACATTTCAACATTCGAGAGTCGCAGCACCAGCTTGAGAGAGAGTGGGCGAGAAAGAGGGGAATAGGAAGCACAGTAGACTGGGCAGGGCTTGGAAAGAAGTGGCCAGCGAGCAGCAATGCTAGCACTCCGAGCACGTGTGAACCTGACACAGCTCCAGGCCGCCCGTCGCTTCTTATTGCGGTCATCGATTGTCCATATGGTCATGTTTCTATATCCGTGTCTCTGTTGTTCTCTCCCACTCTCTCTCTCTCTGTCTCTCTCTTTCTCTATCCATCTCCTTTTGCATTTTAAAATCATATATAGTTGTGCGTATGTCTATTTATTTAAAAATACATCACTCTCTCCCCTCTCTGTCTCTCTCTCTCTCTCTCCTCTCTCTGGCAGTCTGCTGTCTCCACGCTCAACCAGGTGCGAGAGTGGGAGTGTAAGGCCTCTGTCGTGTCGTGCGTGCCAAGATGCGCGTGCGTTGTCAAGGTGCCTAGGGCCCAGGCCTCGTGGCCGCCATCTTCTCTGCATCTCCTGCCTCCCGGGGGGCAGCGAGGGAGCGGGGCATCGCTTCAGTGCCGTGAAGGTGCGGCGTTGGTGTGGCGATGGTGCCGTCGTGGCGTTGCGATTTCGGGGAAGCGTAAGACTCGAGTTCGCCGGAGATCGGGTCTGCCGACGCTTTTTGACGAGGCCGTCCTGGATTTTGACGGCCCACTTTTTGTGGGGTGTTTGCAGCGGGAGGTCGCGTCAAATTTCAGATCGGGCCTAGCCATTTTCCTGACGGCCCCGTCAGGCCAACCCGAGTCCCCCGTACCCGAGTCTTATGTCGCCCCGATGATTCAGAGGAGCAAGAAATCATGCTCAAGTTGCCCTGATTTTCCGCACCGACTGCAGAAACGAGGTCCGCTGGGCATCCTGGAAGTGTGGTAACGCACCTTGAGCCAATCGTATCGTGACATCATTTTATCGTTCTAGTGATATTGTCGCGACTGTGTGGTGGCGTCGTGATGGTGTCCTGAGTTCGTCGTGGTGGAGCCATGGTGATGTCGTGATGGTGTCGTGGAGGTGTCGTGAGAGTGTTCCGATGGTGGCCCGCGCAGCTCACCAGGCCATCAAACGCGAATGCACCCTGAACCAAGCACGAGTCAAGCGTGCCGCATGCAGGACTCATCTATGACGCCAACGTACGCTCTTTTGCGTCGTGTCGGAGGGTCTCCCCTCAGCCTCGGTCTCGGCCGGTTCTGATGTTCGCTTCTCTCCACGTGCCTCGTGCCCCGCCTCCTCGCCGTTTCTCCTTCTTCCTCCATGCCCAGAAGGCCGAAACATGAGACACCTCGGCTGTCTCGGCACTGTTTTCGGATAGTGTGAGGCCGATATGGGGTGGACGGATGAGGAACAGGAGGATGAGGAACATGATTCTTGGAGGAAGGAGAATAACAATGATGATGTGTCGTGTACTGCTTGTTATACCGTGGCCCTCTGATAGCCGCAAGCGATTACCTCCCGAGATGCTGAACAGCTCGACGAAGCAACGGCTGTCGTGTGGCGACGGTTTGAGCACCAGAAGGCCGTAGTTTGTGACACGTATCGTCTCTATTTCTGCAGAGGCTCTAATAGCGATTGCCTCGGCTGTCTGGTGGCTGCCTGAGGTTGCCGTGAGACCGTCTGAGGTGCAGTCGGAGGATATTGGTTCTAGCGATGATGATGAGGATGTTGAGAAAAGATGTAATATGTGACACCTCCAGTCGGGAGGCCTCCGCAAAACCATAATCGAGTATTTCTCGAGCGCTGCTCCATCTTTTCTGTGTGGCGACTGTTTTGGCAACGCCAATACGGCCATAGCATGTGACACCACCTCGGCCGTTTGGGTCTACCTTGGGCTGTTTTGAGGCCGTCTTAGGGAGCAACAGGAGGATGACGAAAATGATGATGCTGATGATGATGCTGATGATGCTGAGTATGTTGATGATGATGATGATGATGATGATGATGATGATGATGATGATGGTGGTGGTGGTTATTGGTGGTGGAGATGAGGATGAGGATGCGGATGATGAGGAGGATGATGGTGGTGATGGTGGTGGTGATGATGACGACGACGATGATGACGACGATGATGATGATGCTGATGATGATGATGGTGATGGTTATGGTGATGGTGATGATGGTGATAGTAATGGTGATGATGATGATGACGACGGCAACGACGATGACGATGGCGATGACGATGACGATGACGATGTGATTACGTTTATGATGATGACGATGATGATGATGATGCTGATGCTGATGCTGATGCTGCTGATGATGATGATGATGGTGAAGATGATGGTGATGGTGACGATGGTGATGATGGTGATGGTTATAGTGATGATGATGATGATGACGCGATGACGATGACGA